CAGTCAAGAAAACCTGGACACACTGTTCATCAGAAAGTGGGGAGACTAACCAAATGTCACAGTAACATATTATGCAGATGACTCTTCACTCTACTTTGACAACATTTAAAAATCACTTATGTTTGGGGCGCCTGGGTGGCTTAGTCGGTTAAGCGTCCGACTTTCGCTTAGGTCATGATCTCGCGGTTCGTGGGTTCGAGCCCCGCGTCGGGCTCTGTGCAGACTGCCAGCTCAGAGCCTGGAGCCTGTTTCAGTCTGTGGCTCCCTCTCTCTCTGACCCTCCCCTGCTCACGCTGTCTCTCTCTCTCTCTCCTAGAAATAAATAAAATATTAAAAAAAAAAAATCACTTATGTTTAGTTGTTACGTAGCTAATAATACCAAGGAAATAAATGTTTAATCTTCTATGGTCCATGATGAGAACTTGACCCCAGAGCATAGAATTCTTATCCATATCATACCTGTTTGATGCATCTATGAAGTATAACAAAGGTCTGGCACAATCACACCCCTAGAATTCTAGAATAAGGAACCCATATGGTTGAGAGTCCTGTGTTCAGTCATCCTTTTCTGAACAGCTAAATCTCTACGTATTTCCAGAGTCAGAAAACACAAAACAGCTTTCATCGGTCTATGTCCAGAGTGTAATTGTTCTGAAATTCTTATAATTTCTCCTACTGTAACAAGGATTTATTTAGCTTTCATCTCTATAAACTGCTTTATGTACTTGAAGATTTACGAGCTGGTCTTTAATCTTTCTTTGTCAGTCTGGCCAACCACAAATTCTTTAAATGTATCCTCGTAGGTTCCATTTTCTTTTAAAAATTTTCTTCCTTGGCTTTTGAGGCCCTCTCCTGATTCATTCTCATTCTCTCTCTCTCTCTCTCCCCCCTTCCTCCCTCTCTCTCTGAGTTTTATTGAGAAATAATTGGCATATAACACTGTATAAGATTAAAGCGTACAGCATGATGGTTGATTTATATGTATTGTGAAATAATTGCCACAATAGGTTCAGCTAATATCTGTCTTCTAATTCTCTTGCCTACTCCTTCTCAGTTTCCTTAGGTAGTATCTCTTTCGCAATTTAAACAATGGCATGTGCCCCACGATTCCTTCTTCCTCAATATTTCAAAAATATATACCATTAAATACTGTTGTTTCCAAAACAGTATCTCCAAGAATTCTCAAGTATTCTCCTGAGTGTTAAATCTGCATTTCCAAATACTTACTGGATGCCTGAAAACCATCCCACATGACCAAGTGTAACTTTGTCCCAAACCTATCCCCCTCTTGTATTTTCTTTTGCAGTTGTAATAGCATTTTCACCTTATTTCTAAAAACAGAAACTAGAGGGGCACCTGGGTGGCTCAGTCAGTTAAGTGACCAACTCTTGGTTTCAGCTCAGGTCATGATCTCAGGGTTCCTGAGCTTAAGCACAGGCTCTGTGCTGACAATGTGGAGCCTGTTTGGGAGTCTCTGTACCCCCCGCCTGCTTCTCCCTATTTGTGCACACACACTCTCTCTTTCAAAATAAAAATTAAAAATATTAAAAATAAAAACAGAAACCTAGAAATCATATTTGACTCCTCCTCTCCCTCAAGTTCTTCATTTGTCGCTAAGTCCTGTCCATCTTTAGCTTAACTCTAACCTTTTCTGTAACCTTAAAAGCCACTCTCTTAAGAAAAGCCTTCTTTATTTCTCTACTACATTATTGCAATAGCCTCAAATAAATTAACCTGGCTTTATTTCTGCATGCCATTAAAGAGCCCACACCTTCCTAAAACAGCTATTGTGATATAATGTAAGTAAATGGGCTTTGTGGGCCATGAACATAGATTCAAGTCCCAATTTTGGTACCTGCAAGCTGGGTTACTTAACTTTTCTGAGCTCAATTTCCTAATTAAGTCACTCCTTCAAATTTTTTAATGGAAAAGGAGCCAGTTGGAGAGAAGTGTTCTAAGATTACTGACAGTTCTAGCAATATTCATTAACACATCTCTTATCAATGCATGCTTCTCATCAATGTATATGAGTATCTACCCATCCACGAAAAAGAGAGTTTAAAGCATATTATATTCTTAATGTTTAAAAGCAAGCCTTTTAAAAATTAAAATTCTAGATTATAGCAAAGTTGCAGGATACAACATTGATACACAAATTCTGATTTCTTATATACCAGCAATGAATAACTGGAATTTGAAATTTAAAATATAACACTATTTACAATAGCAGCAGAAAAAAATGAAATACATAGGTATAAATTCAACATTATATGTATAAGATCCATATAAAGAAAATTACAAAACTCTGGTGAAAGAAATCAAGGAAGAACTAAATAAATGGAGATAGAGTCCATGTTCGTGGATAGAAAAGAGTCTATATTATCAAGATGTGACTTCTTTCCAACTTGATCTACAGATCCAGTGCAATCCCAATCAAAATCCCAACAAGTTACTTTGTAGACATTCACGAACTGATTCTAAAATTTATGTGGAGAGGCAAAAGATCCAGAATAGCCAACACAATGTTAAAAAAGAATAAAATTAGAGGACTGCTCATACCTGACTTCAAGCCTTACTATAAAGCCACAGTAATCAGACAATCATATTGGTGAAAGAATAGACAAATAGATCAATAGGAAAATAGAGATCCCAGAAATAGATCCACACAAATACAGTCAGCTAGTCTTTGACAAAGGATTGAAGGTTATCTATACAGAAAAGATAGTCTTTTCAGCAAATGGTGCTAGAAAACTGGATATCCACATGCCAAAAAAAAAAAAAAAAAAAAGAATCTAGAAACAGACCTTACACCTACCACAAAACTAACTTGAAATGTATCATAGATACAAATGTAAAATGCAAAACTATAAAAATTCTAGAAGGTAACACAAGAGGAAATCTAGGTGATCTTAGTTTTAGCAATGCATTTTAAAATACAACCAAAGCATGATCCATGAGAGAAAAATTTGATCAACTTGATTTCGTTAAAATTAAAAACTTTTGCTCTACAAAAGACGAGCCACAGACTGGGAGAAAATATTTGCAAGGCCACATATCTGATGTCTTAATCCATTCAGGTTACCATACCAATACCAGAGATGGGGTGGCTTATAAACAAAAGAAGTCTATTCCTCACAATTCTGGGGGTTCAGAAGTCCAAGATCAAAGTATCAGCAGATTTGGTGCCTGGTAAGGACATGCTCTCTGGTTTATAGCCAGGCATATTGTTGCTGTGTTCCTACAATGCTGAAGGGGCAAGGGAGTTCTCTGAGGTCTCTATTATAAGGACGTTAATCCCATTCATGGGTGTGCCATCCTTATGATTTAATCACCCCCAAAGGCTTTACCTCCTAATACCATCACATTGAGGATGAGGTTTCAATATATGAATTTGGGGGTCTATAAACATTCAATCTATAGCATCTGAAAAAGGACTGGTATTGAAAATATACAGACAACTGTTACATTTCAACAATAGGAAACAAACAACCCAATTAAAAAGTGGGTAAAAGAACTGAACATACACTTCATCAAAGAAGATATGCAGATGGTAAATAAGCATATGAAATATGCCCAGTGTCATGTCATTAGAGAATTACAAATTAAAACAATGAGAAAGATAACACTACGCACCTTTATAATGGCTAAAATACAAAACACCAAATGCCAGTGAGGATATGGAACAACAGGAAGTATTATTCATTGATGGTGGGATTGGTAGACACTTTAGAAGATATTTGGCAATTTCTTATAAATCTAAACATATTCTTACCATATGACCCAGAAATTGCATTCCTAGGTATTTACCCAAGTGAGTTAAAAACTCTTATCCACACAAAAACCTGCACATCAATGTTTATAGCATCTGTATTCATAATTGCCAAAAATTAGAAGGAAACAACACATCCATCAATAGATGAATGGATAATCAAATTAGTCAGTGCTAAAAAGAAATGAGCTAGCAAGTGATGAAAAGATATGGAGGAATCTTAAATGCATATTAAGTGAAAGAAGCCAATCTGGGAAAGTTATGTACTATATCATTTTAACTATGCCATTCTGGAAAAGGCAAAACTATACATACAGTCAAAAAATCAGTGGTTGCCAGCACTTCAGACAGGGGCCACAGAAGGAAAGAGATGCATAGGTAGAATACAGATAATTTTTAGGGCAGTGAAACTATTTACATAATATTGTAATGGTGAATACATGACATGCGTTTGTCAAAGTCCATAGAACTGAACAACACACAAAATGAACCCTAATGTAAACTATAGGCTTTCATGTACATCACTATTTCTTCATCAGGTGTAACAAATGTACCACACTAACACCAGATGTTAATACGGGAAACACGAGGAGTGGGTAGTAATAGAGAAACTCTTTGTGTACTTCTGGCCAATTTTTCTGTAAACCCAAAACTACTTAAAAAATAAAGTGTATTATTTTGTAAAAGCAATAGGAGATGAGGAAAAAAAGGGAAAATTTTAAGGTTTTACTCAGGAACCAAAAAAGAAAAGGGGGAGTCCTGTGGCCAAGGATAGGAAGACAGTGGGTCCAACTGGCTGGAAATTCAGAGAACAGGTATTCTCTAGGCACAGGCTTAGAGACAGTATGTTAGGAGGAGTTGAACCCAAAGGATGGACACAAGATTTTCAAAGTGGTTTTCAAATCCGTATGTTTATTAGAATCATCTGGGGAGCTTTTAACACTCCCAATGCTTAGGCTGCACCCCAGGCAAAGTAAGTTAGGATTTCTGGGAATGGGGCCCAGGCATCAGTCCCAGGTGATTCTTTGTGCAGACAAACTTGAAAACTACTGACTTAGGGCTAACCCTCCATATGTTGACTTAACTGAGGGGACACTACTGGTTCAGTGGATTCAGCTGAGCACAGAGGTGAATAAACCTGGGATACAGGTTAGTGAGCAAGTAAGAATACTTACCTATTTAATGTAAGGAACACACTCTTCACAAATTAGACTATGTAATGTTGCCTTACCTATCTGGGGTTCCCCATTGCCTTTTAGGCCTAGAAAGATCTTGGATTCTCTTCCTAGAAAACAAACTAACAAATACCAGCTGATTAATTAAGAGAATGCTCAACAAATATGGTTATATTAGATGACTCCTACTCATACAAATCCTGTCTTGGGCAGGAGGAGGAGGGACCCAAAGCACTATTTGATGTAATCTGAAGAATACTGAAATCTCAAAGTATTCAAAAATATTGTGAACCCAAAATTCTCTCTCCTAGAATCATGGCTAATATAGTACATAGTGAAACAAAAACAATAAATATGCAATAAAACCAAGAGCACATTGTCTCCAGAAGATGCCAGGTAAAACACACACTTAATGGGGAAAACCCTCAATTCTCTTATTAATTTGTAAATGGCTTGATGGCACTGGATTCTGAAGAGATTGTACAGATAAATTTCAGTGAGAATATTTGGCTTTGGTAAAACTATGAAATAGGTAAAGTATACTTTGAGTACCACTCAACCCTTTTTCTTCCCTACTCTGCTCCTTTGAACGTTCACTGATTGTTCTGAATTTACCTACAGCAGAGTTTGTGCTCACCAAGTATTCATGTGTTCCTCTATATTTCCAAGCCTCCCTTCAGTAATTTAGAGCCATGTGAATAGAGTTATGTATAACTTCAGCAGAGGTGTTCAGTATCACTTCCAGGGCAACACACTTAAGAGCTAATGTGCCTGCTCCATTCCCCTCTTCCCCTATTGCGGTGACTCTGTAAGCCACATATTCTAGATGGTATAGCTAAAAGACAGAAGAGGTCAAGCCATCTCACACTCACTGTGACATCTCACACTCACTATGACATGATGGAGAAATAAACTTTTATTGCATTATGTCATTGAGTTTTGTATCAGATTTGTTATTGCAGCATTGCCTATCCTGTGGAGACTAATACACCACCTATGTTACTATAGATCATATTGTAATTATGTATCCACTTGCTTGGAGTTTGAAGGGCCCTTATTGGGTACAACACTTTTTCCCCCACAATTAAGAACTAACTAAAAACAGACACAGGAGTCAGATAAATAGAATAAAAATACTTTCTCTATTATTGATTAAATGATACTGATAACAGTAGTACGGATCCCTGATAATCCTGAACTGAACTTTCCCTCCAAAGCGGCAAGCCTCCCCCTGCAGGGGCTAAGTTTGCTATGTGACGGAGAACAGATCACAAAGATCACTCCCTATTGATAGACAGGTCCCAAAGAAATCTGATCCAGAAGGGGCCAGTTCTCTCTCTCTCAGTTCCATCAAATAGAAGTTATTTCCATCCCTCTCAGGAGTCTAATTAAGGGATAATAAGGAAAGAAGTCAGGAAAATTACTCAAAGGAAGTGCTTCTATGTACAAAAAGGAAAAGCATTCTTCCTAAAATTCACCTGAACTCTTTAATAGACTCTATTTTTTTCTTTTAGTTTCAAGTTTTTGTTTAAACTCCAATTAACACAGTGTAATATTAGTTTCAGGTGTAGAATTTAGTGATTCATCACTTGCATACAACATCCAATACTCATCACAACTGTCCTCCTTAATACCCACCACCCATTTAACCCACTCCCCTGCTTGCCTCCCCTCCAGCAATGCTGTTTGTTCTCTATAGTTAAGCGTCTGTTTTATGGTTGCCTCTCCCTTTTCCCCCTATATTCCTTTGTCTTGTTTCTTAAATTCCACATATGAGTGAAATCATATGGCATTTGTCTTTCTCTGACTTATTTCACTTAGCATAATAGTCTCTAGCTCCGTCCACATCATTTCAAATGGCAAGATTTCATTCTTTTTGATGATTGAGGAATATTCCATTGTATAAATATACCACATCTTCTTTATCCATTCATCAGTCAATGGACATTTGGGCTCTTTCCATAATTTGGCTATTGTTGATAATGCTGCTATAAACATCAGGGTGCATGTATCCTTTCAAATCAGTATTTTTGTAAATACCTAGTAGTGCAATTGCTGGATTGTAGTGTATTTTTAACTTTCTGATGAACCTTCAAACTGTCTCCCAGAGCAGCTGCTCCAGTTTGCATTCCCACCAACAGTGTAAGACGGTTCCCCTTTCTCTGCATCCTCACCAACATCTGTTGTTTCTCGTGCTGTTGATTTTAGCCATTCTGACAGGTGTGAAACGGTATCTCACTGTACTTTTTATATTTCCCTGATGATGAGTGATGTGGAGTATCTTTTAATGTGTCAGACATTTGGATATCTTCTTTGGAAAAATGCCTATTCATGTCTTCTGCCCATTTTTTTTTAACTGGATTATTTGTTTTTTGTGTGTTGAGTTTTAGAAATTCTTTACAGATTTTGGATACTAATCCTTTATCAGTTATGTCATTTGCAAATATCTTCTCCCATTCTGAAGGTAGTCTTTTAGTTTTGTTGATTATTTTCTTCGATGTGCAGAATCTTTTGATCTTGATAAAGTCCCAAGAATTCATTTCTGCTTTTGTTTCCCTTGCCTCCAGAGATGTATCTAGTAAGAAGCTGCTATGGCCAATGTCAAAGAGCTTACTGCCTGTGTTCTGCTCTGGATTTTAATGGTTTCCTATCTCACATGTAGGCATTTCATCCATTTTGAACTTATTTTTGTGTATGGTGTAAGAAAGTGGTCCAGTTTCATTCTTTTGCATGTTGCTGTCAAGTTTTCCCAACACCATTTGTTGAAGAGGCTGTCTTTTTCCCATTGGATATTCTTTGTTGCTTTGTCAAGGATTAGCTGACCATATAGTTGTGGGTCCATTTCTGGGTTTTCTATTTTGTTCCATTGATCTCTGTGTCTGTTTTTGTGCTAGTACCATACTGTCTTGATCACAGTTCGTAACACAACTTGAAGTCTGGACTTGTGATGCCTCCAGCTTTGCTTTGCTTTTTCAAGACTTCTTTGGATATTCAGTCATTTGTGATTCCATACAAATTTTAGAATTGTTTGTTCTAGCTCTGTAAAAAATGCTGGTGGTATTTTGATAGGGATTGCATTAAATTTGTAGATTGCTTTGGGTAGTATAGACATTTTAACAATATTTGTTTTTCCAATCCATAAGCATGGAATGTTTTTCCATTTGTTTGTGTGTGTGCCAGTTTCAATTTCTTTCATAAGTGTTCTATGGTTTACAGAGTACAGATCTTTTACCTCTGGTTAGGTTTATTCCTAGGTATCTTATGCTTTTTGGTGTGATTGTAAATGGGATAAATTCCTTGATTTCTCTTTCTGCTGCTTCACTATGGGTGTATAGAAATGCAACAGATTTCTGTACATAGATTTTGTATCCTGTGACTTTACTGAATTCATGTATCAGTTCTAGCAATTTTTTGTTTGTTTTTGTTTTTGATGTGAAAATACATCTTTCATTAATATAGCCTGGACTAGACACAAAATCAAATTATCCCAGTATCACAAAAGAGAGTTCTAGCAATTTTTGGCCAGGTCTTTTGGGTTTTCTAGAAAACTGTGAAAGTTTGACTTCTTCCTTGCCAATTTGGATGCCTTTTATTTCTTTTTGTTGTCTAACTGCTGTGGCTAGGACTTCCAGTACTATGTTAAATAACAATGGTGAGAGTGGACATCCCTGTCTTGTTCCTGGCCTCAGGGGAAAAGCTCTCATTTTTCTCCAGTTGTGGATGATATTAGTGGGTCTTTCATATATGGCCTTTATGACATTGAGGTATATTCCCTCTATCCTTACTCTGTTGAGGATTTTTATCAAGAATGGATGCTACATTTTGTCAAATGCTTTTTCTGCATCTATTGAGAGGATTGTAAGCTTCTTATTTCTTCTTTTATTAATGTGGTGTATCATGTAGATTGATTTGCAAATATTGAATAACCTTATAACCCAGAAATAAATCCCACTTGATCATGGTGAATGATTCTTTTAATGTACTGTTGGATTCTATTTGGTAGTATTTTGTTGAGAATTTCTGCACCTTATGTTCTTTAGAGATATTGGTCTGCAGTTCTCTTTTGCAGTGGGGTCTTTTTCTTAAAATAAGCCCTGGCCCTGGTGTCAGGCAGGATTCAGGCCTGACACAGTATGGGCAAATCCTTATGTGAAGCACATGGCCTCCCTAATTAAATGGTGACTGATGCATCTCCTTTCAGGAAAGTGCGGGGAAGCAAGGGGGAAAAATCCTTCAATCAGATTATCTATTTCCATGTTCCTCTAATTCATTTGCATTGCTTCAGCCTTTAATTACAACTTATTTGCCCCTTAACACCTTGCCTAAGCTATGCTAGGGGAGAAATGTAAGTAGGGATTTGATGCACACAAACCAGGCCACAGTGTTAACAGTGGGACAAATGAAGTGCCATTTTCTTACACCTGGGCAAGTTACTTAATTCCTAGAGTTTTAAGGAGTATGCAGTGGGGAGAGGGTTGCAATTTAAATAGGATGATCAAAGAAGGCATTACTGATCAGATTATATTTGAACAATGACTAGCTACCCAGATTTTTCAAGGAAAGATCTTCCCATTCCAATGGTTAATTAGCAAAAGCAAAGGCCCTGGGGCAGAAGCATGCCCCAGAAAAATAATAGGAGACCAGTGTGGTTAGCCTCGCCTATAAAGGAAAATAACTATATCCATCTTAAAGGGTTGCACACCTAGCAACTTCTAATCATGGAGTAGGTATTCAATAAATGTTAGTTCCTTTTTCCTTTCCCACTCACAACACCTAGTATCAAAGCCAGTATGTAGTCAATGCTCAGCAAATGCTAACCGAGTTTAACTAAATCAGTATTTGATTGTTTAAAATACAAATTCAGTTTAAGTGCCTTTTAAGGGAAAATCAGTAAACTATCAGTAAGCTTTTATCACTTGAAGAGGTTTCTAGATAAAATAGACTTGAAGGTAGCAAGAATGGTACCCCACATCCACACTCTTTTATCCCCGATGCCTAATACTGGACCCTTCTAGTTTCCCCCTTCACTATTGCAAGCAACCTATCTGCATTTTGTCCCTCAGGTCTCTGCTGCTTGATTCAAGAGTTCCCAGCCTGAAGTTCTCAAATACTTAAGGGATCTGCGAAGATAATAATGGAAGTCCACAACCTTTAGAATATTTCAAAAGGTCAAATGACATCCTACACCATTCACAGTCAGGCTGTAAGGGCTACTGCAAATACCAAATTTGTTTCTAAACTATATCATCTCCATGTTACCTCATACTGATAGGAGACTCTGATTAATACTTACATCTGCCCTTAATTTTTTAAAAATTAACAAATATAGTTTGTTTTGTGAGCAATAACAAAAAATCTTTCAAAACATGAGATTATGTTCATGGATAGATATAACTAAAAGGTACTTTGGTGGTAAAATGTTTGGGATCACCAATGTCATTGATAAGATGCAACCCACAAGCCATGCCTTTTAATATCTTAGAAACAATGAAGATACTGTCCATTGCTAGAGGAAAAAAAAAAAGCTACATCTTTATTCAACAGAAGAAGAGCTTCATCATGTAAGCACCACGTGAGTCCTGCCAAGAGAGCCTGAGCCAACTTTCCAGGGAGGGTGGCTAGGTGGAGGAAAAGAAAGCCAGAGTTGCAGACAAAACATCTTATATACATTAATCTTTTAAAGCAAGTTAGTTTCTGGCTTCCATCATCACTTCCAAGCCAAGGTTTCTCTTGCTACCTTTTTCTTCACTAGCTAAATAATGTTTCTTTAATGTATCGTTTTATAGACTAATGACAGTTTCCTACTTTATTCCTATAGACACTTTAATTGGGTTGTTACTTCAATTGGAAATAATCTCATTAACATTTGCTTCTTCTGTGTGGACATCTGACTAACATCTGTCCTCTTCATTCACTTCTGTATATTATGTCACCACAGCTACGCCTCCACCCTATCTCTTCATCTTACACAGGCTTCCCCCCTTCTTTCACGTCTTGCATTGCCTCACAGTGTCTAGTCATGGTCCTGTGCAGAAACAAAAGAATGTGGTTGAAGGACTTTCATGTTTGAAGGCAGATTTTTTAAAATGAGGATTACATTGCCGTCCCATGTCTTCATTGATTATTAGTCTCCTACAGTTTACCAATAGCTCAGAAAGTTTTTGAAATCCTTACCTTGGGTGCAGAACAATAAATATACCTTAATATAGTAGTAATTATGGTATTGATTACAGGTCTGAAGTGACTGGGTAATATAAACAATTCTCTCAGTCAAAATGTTCTTCTACATTTAACTATGTTGTTTATATTCAGAAAATATTTTCTTTCATAACAATCAGGCACATCATATTTGTTTAAAAATAATTTTTTAGTCAGTGGGGACAGGATTAAGTAATAAAGATAGCACAATTTCCTCATAGATCAAGCCAAATTAACCAGTGAAACAAAAGCAAGAAGTGGTATAACAACAAGAACAAAAATATGTTTTTTAAAAAACACTCTCTTCAGTTTTTTTTTTTTTAAGTATAAAAACTTATCGGGTATAAACTATTTCACTGTGTGCTTAGCCCCAGGGGAGTTTGCTTACCCGGCATACATTTATTTGAAGTAATGTGGTATGTTAAGTGGGCACTTGGTAATACTCAGTAAATGTTAGTTCTTCTACCACCTCTTCTAACTCAGCCACCATATGACCTTGGGAAAGTGACATAATTTCTCTGAATTTCATTTTCTCTCAGTAGAATCTAGTTGATTATATTTGTCCTGTAAACGTCTCAGGAGTCTTGTGAGAAAAGAAATTTTTTTTAAAATGTAAATCATTACATAAAGATAAGGTAGTGGTATTTACTGCCTGGAAGAGTTGAGGGGGGAGAAAACTAGAAAACAAAGCAAATAAGAAATCCAAAAGAGTTGGGGCACCTGGATGGCTCAGTCACTTAAACGTCCAATTCTTGATCTCAGCTCAGGCCATGATCTTACTGTTTCGTGGGTTTGAGCCCCACGATGGGCTCTGTGCTGTCAGCACAAAGCCTGCTTGAGATTCTCTCTCTCTCCCTCTCTCTCTCTGCCCTTCCCCTACTTGTGCTGTCTCTATCACTCTCAAAAGAAATAACAAAAAAACTTTAAAAATCCAAAAATGTCTAAATAATAATAAACATAAATGTTAAACAATAACAATAAACATGAATGATTTAACGCACTTTATTTTTTTTAATTTTTTCATGTTTTATTTATTTCTAGGAGAGAGAGAGAGACAGCGTGAGCAGGGGAGGGTCAGAGAGAGAGGGAGACACAGACTCTGAAACAGGCTCCAAGCTCTGAGCTGGCAGTCAGCACAGAGCCCAACGCAGGACTCGAACCCACGAACCGTGAGATCATGACCTAAGCGAAAGTCGGACGCTTACTTAACCGACTAAGCCACCCAGGCGCCCCTGATTTAACCCACTTTAAAAGAATGGATACATGGGGCGCCTGGGTTGCTTAGTCGGTTAAGCGTCCGACTTTCACTTAGGTCATGATCTCGCGGTTCGTGGGTTCGAGCCCCACATCGGGCTCTTTGCTGACTGCCAGCTCAGAGCCTGGAGCCTGTTTCAGTCCGTGACTCCCTCTCTCTCTGACCCTCCCCTGCTCACACTGTCTCTCTCTCTCTCCTAGAAATAAATAAAAACATTAAAAAAAATTTTAAAAGAATGGACACAATGTGTAGCAACATGGATGGACCTTGAGGGTGTTATGCTGAGCGAAATAAGTCAGGCAGAGAAGGACAAATATCACATGTTTGCACGTATAGGAGGATTAGGAGGAACTTAACGGAGGACCATGGGGGAGAAGAAGGGGGGAAATGGTGGGGGAAATGGTGGGGGAAAGGGAGAGAGGCAAACCATGAGAGACGCTTGAATGCTGAGAAGCAAACTGAGGACTGATGGATGTGTGGGGGAGGGGGGAGATGGGCATGGAGGAGGGCACTTGTGGGGATGAGCACTGGGTGTTATATGGAAACCAATTTGACAATAAACTATTTGTAAAAAAATAAAAAAATAAAAGAATGGATACAAATAAAATTATTATTATTTACTTCTCATCTATATGAGCTATTGATATGAATCCTTGCTTTTTCTCTTTAATGATTCTACTCTGTTACCTCTTCTAGCTCCATTTCAGCCAAATAAAGAAGAAGCATCGATTATTCAGGAGGCATCTATTTTGTGCACTGTAGGTACAATTTCTCTTTCCCATAGAGAAATTTCATTAGCTTCTGTACTTGAAATAGAGATGAGGGGAGATTGGGACACATTGACCCGGAGCTTCACAAAATATGTCACATGAGATTGTCAATGCAGCATCCCAAGTCCCTTAAAGGTTCAGACCTAACATGTAATATACAACTAGTGTTTAGCAAACAAGTAAAACACTGAGTGGATCTAAGGGGAGTTTTCCTATATCTCCATCTTCTTCCCCCATCACACTTCTTAATCACTTTATCTCTTGTTTCCTTTTTTACATTGGAATTGTCATTAAAAACAGGCCTTATGACCAAGAAAAAGCACAGGAACCCCCAAGATAGGCTTTCCCTTCAAACGCCCCAGATTGAGTCTGTGCCATCAGCTAGTTAGAGTCTGGAAGAATAGTACTACACCTATAATCTTACCATTTCCTGGCAATGCCAAAGAGACCAGTATCTATAAAAAGAAAAGTAAAAACAAACATTAGATTCAATAAGAATCAAAGACACGATAAAGACAGCATCACAAATCAATAGAAAAATAGTCTTTGAAAAATAACTATCAAGGGGAATGGCCAAATTAAATATGTCACACTATACACCAAAATAAGTCACAGGTAAATCAAGGAGTTAAGTATTTTTTTTAAAAACTGAATTAGAGGGATGCCTGGGTGGCTTAGTCATTTAAGTGTCTGACTCTTGATTTTGGCTCAGGTCATGATCTCAGGTTTATGGGACTGAGCCCTGTGCACTGTCAGTGCAGAGCCTGCTTGGGATTCTCTCTATCCCTCTCTCTGCCCTTCCCCCTGCTCTCAAAAATAAACATTTTTTAAAATATTTAATTAGAGCAAAAATAAGAGAATATCTTATTTTAAAATTGAAATTACTAGACTTAATCTGAATCAAAGACAACAAAAGATATAGAGGAAAAAGATAAATAGATTAAAATATTTAAAACTTAAAACTTCTGGGTGCCAAAAATTAAAACTTAAAGAGGAAATGAAAATATTTGGCAACAATATGACAAAGGGTTATTAGTCTTAATACCTGAAGATTATAAAAGTGTAGATGAGTAAGAAAACACCAAGGTATGTGTCAAAAGTTGAATGGACAAAGGATAGAAACTGAATTCATACATGTAGACATAAAACATATATGAAGACATAAAGACATAAAAAGATGTATTTATAAGACAGAAAAGAAAAAGTTTATGTTTGCTTGTAATCAAAACAATGTAGTAAAGGATGAGATTATTTTTTAAACTATAAAATTAGCAAAAAATTTTTGCAAAGGATAATGAAACACTAGATTTCAGGTCAGGTCATGATATTGCAGCTTTTGAGTTCAAGCTCCAGGTCAGGTTCTGCTCTCTGCACTGACAGCATGGAGCCTGCTTGGGATTCTCTCTCTCCCTTTCTCTCTCTGCTCCTTCCCTGCTTACTTTTTTTTTTTTCCTCTTTCTCAAAATATATAAATTTATTTAAAAAAAAAAAGAAGAGTAAAATGAGATGAGTCTTTTTGTGTACTGCTGGTAGAAATCTAAACTAGTACACTTTAGGCAAAATAATGTGGCAGTATAAATCAGCAATGCTTGTATTCCTTAATCTAATTCTACTTGTAGAAATGTACCCTAAAGAAATTATTCCAAGTTTAGGCAAAAATGTATGCACAAAAGTGTTCATTGCAGTATCAGTGGAAAATTGGATACACCTGAAATGTCCAAAACAGAAGAAATGGTTAAGCAAATTAATAATCATGTTTAGTTTTTTTTCTAAATGTGGGGAAATGTAATCGATCATACAGGTCAAGCTATGTAAAGGCCTATTATAATAGGCCACAGAAGGACAGATTGTTCCAGACAGTTTCTTCTTGGAGTTTTTAATCATACCTGAGACTTCTGAAATACCACTTCCTACCCTCTGAAGTGTTTTGGGTAAAGAAAAGTGAGTGTTCTCTGGCATGAGACAAACATGATTCATACCCTAGTTCTGTCACTCAGCTTTACAACCTTGGATAAATTACTTACCTTCTCTGAGACTCAGTATTCCTTCTCTGATAGGGGGTAATGGGTATGTCTGTATAAGTAGTAGTGACACAAATATAAAGTACTCTGCAAATAGGAGATGAATGGTACTCAGAATTACTAGTTACTACTTTAGTGTTTCAAAGTGGCAGCACTTCAAGAAACACAGCAACCTAGTATTGATCAGGCTCCTACTACGTATAGCAGGATGCCAGTGATGAGAGAAAATGAGCAGGACATGTTTACCTCTCGAGGAGTTTACACCAGAGTAGGAGATAGGCTACAAAGTTGGAAAAAAAAAAAAAAGTAAATGGAATTTTTGAATTGGGATATTTTCTATTACTCTACTTTTTTTTTTTTTTTTTAATGTTTACTTATCTTGAGGAGGGAGGGACAGAGAGAGAGGGAGAGAGAATCTCAAGCAGGCTCCACACTAGTGCAGTGCTGCACATGGGGCTCGATCCCACAAGCTGTGAGATCATGACCTGAGCCAAAATCAAGAGTCCAATGCTCAACCTACTAAGCCACCCAAGAGCCCCCTATTACTCTACTTTTTAAGGCTAAACTGACTCAGACCGAAAGAAAAAGGGAAGAGTAGTCCTCCAAATATACCCCTTGTGCCCAGCCATCCTGTCATTCATGACAGATGCAACACTGTCCCGTGGACTTTTCACATATATCAAGCTTGGTTTCCAGCTTTATATACACAGGTCAGCACTCATGCAAATACTGATAATATGAATGAATAACACTTTTCCTATTGCCCTTTCATAGTAGTTTCTCCCACAGGTAGAGACTGCAGTCTTATTTTGGAAATACTTACAGTGTTATCTTACCAATTGGTGGGATAGAATAGCTCTCAGGTGGCTATTGTTAGCTAATGTCCCAAACAAGGCAGAGTCACAATGGTTTCCAAACTAGAATCACCCTGGAGTCTTTTAAAAATTGTGGGGCACCTGGGTGGCTCAGTCGTTTAAGCATCTGACTTCAGCTCAGGTCATGCTCTCACTGTTGGTGAGTTCAAACCCCGCATCGGGGTCTGTGCTGGCAGCTGGGAGCCTGAAGCCTGCTTTGGATTCTGTGTCTCCCTCTCTCTCTGCCCCTCTCCCTATCTCTCTTTCTCTCTCTCTCAAAAATAAACATTAAAAATTTTAAAAAATAATAGTAGGGCCCAGGGGCACCTGAGTGTTTCAGTTGGTTAAGCATCTGACTTCAGATAAGGCCATGATCTCACTGTTCATGGGTTTGAGCCTTGCATTGGGCTCTGTGCTGACAGCTCAGAGCCTGGAGCCTGCTGCAGATTTTGTGTCTCCCTCTCTCTCTCTGCCCCTCCCCTGCTCACTTTGTCTCTCAAAAATAAATACATGTTTAAAAAAAAAAAAATTGTAGGGCCCAGGCTACACCCTAGACTAATTAAATCCACAATCTTTGGAAGTGCAACACAAGCACTGGTATTTTTCAAAGCAGACAAGTTTGAGCTCTACTACAATATTGTTTAATGAATAAGGCTACTGGCTCTGGAATCAGACAGCCTGTAACCAAATCCTGGCTCTAACCAGGAGAGAAAGGGAAAGCATTTCAGAAGAAATGGCAAGCATAAAGGTTGAGGTGGAATCAAGCAAAAGACACAGTAGGGCAGTTGGTCAGCGTGTCTGGAGGAAAGGGAGAGGACAGCAGAATTTGTGGTTAAGCCAGATCCCAATGAGCCCTGCCAGAGTTTGGCTACCAGGAGGAAGCCCCTAAAGGAGTTTGAGCAAAATGACGAATAACATCTCCCTCTAAGAGATCATCAGAACATTATGGCTGTGTTATGCCCCTTAAATGCCCGTAGTTTATTCTGTATTTTATTCTGTAACACACAAACCACATCACACATGTTGCCACCTCCAGCGAAAAATGAGATGATCCAAGCCATTTGATGGAGAAGGCTGCCATCTGCTGGGAGAAAGCATGACTAAATCTGTTCTTCCCAGATGCCAGCGATGAGGCGTTGTTCACTGTGAGTCCCAGTGCAAGCACAAGTAAAGCATTTTGTAACACGACAAGGATGAAATATTAAAGTACCGCTGTTCTCCACTTCGTCCTCCATCCTGCTTCCTAAAGAGTCCATGTTTGAGGTGTTCAGCCTCTAGTAATGAGTTGTACCGAATGGTGTACAACTGACCTACAAAGTAAAGGCGGGAAGTACGTCTCAGAACAGATCTAGGGGGCATAGGAAGAGAGGGTAAGAGAGAGGCAAGGCGGAGTTTGAGAGAAATAGGAAAGCTATTTTTGGAGACTAGCTGTCATGATGATTGGGACTCGGGAAGAGAAATGCCTCAGGAGCATTTTAGCAGGTTTTGCTCTATGTATCCCTTCCAGGTACTTCAGGAAGAGACCTACTTTATTTTTCAAGGCTTTGTGAAGTAAAATTTGTGCTTGTTTTGTGTACTCTATTGTTTGGAGATTGATCTTGAAGCAGTCCATTCTATTTTGGGTATGACTATGTAAACAGTGGGATGTTCTTTGACATGATGTAATAAGCTATGTGATCTGTTACTACTATTCATTCTTTTTGCTCCTCTCATAGGCACAACTCCCTAGCACTATGCTCCCCACTGCGTTAGCTCAGGGTCATTAGACAAGAGATAGGAGAGCATGGGAAAGGGTTTTGCTTGAAGGAGGGAAGGCAGAGGCAGGAGAAAGGGCAAGTCCTTCCATTTGGCTAAAAGATGATGACGACAACAGAAACCAGAGACTTCTGTGCAAACTAGAACCCAAAACTAGCACTTTTGTGACACATTTTCTCAAATTTCAAATCTATTTTTCATGTTCATTTTTACCCACTTTCATCTATGTTGAAGATGGCACTGGCAACTAGGTAGGTTCTAAGAAAGCTGGATTTATAACCCACACACGGAGCACTTGGGTGGCTCTGTCAGCTAAGTGTCAGACTCTTGATTTCAGCTCAGTCATGATCTCAGAGTCATGAGACTGGTTGTGAGATTGAGCTCCTTGCTGGACCTTGTGCTGAGCGTGGAGTCTGCTTAAGATTTTCTCTCTCTCGGAGGCGCCTGGGTGGCTCAGTCGGTTAAGCGACCGACTTCGGCTCAGTTCATGATCTCACAGTTGTGGGTTCAAGCCCCGCGTCAGGCTCTGTGCTGACAGCTAGCTCAGATCATGATCTCACAGTTGTGGGTTCAAGCCCCGCGTAAGGCTCTGTGCTGACAGCTAGCTCAGAGCCTGGAGCCTGCTTCGGATTCTGTGTCTCCCTCTCTCTCTGACCCTCCCCTGTTCATGCTGTCTCTCTCTCTCTCTCAGAAATAAATAAAACATTAAAAAATTTAAAAAAAAAGATTTTCTCTCTCTGCCCCTCTCCCTGGCTCAAGCTATCTCTAAATTTAAAAAAAAATTTAAATAAACTTTAAAAACACTTTATAATTCACACCAAACAC